CTTGAGCATCTGGAGTTACTACAATGTACATGTACAGCAATCACTCATATCAAGTAAACATTATTATAGTTCTACATACTATCAGTGAAAACTAAAGCAAACATTAAAATGTCAAAAGAAGTTCAAGTTCAGAGAAGAAAATCTGTTGAGCTAATAATACCAAAGTCACACCAATACCACCTGACTAACTTTAAACAGTCCAATAACTTTACAAAGTCTTATAGCAATTGATGTTGATATAATGTTTGTTCGATCTCTTTTCACTCTTTTAACGGGTCTCATCGGTGTGACTGGAGTTTAACATGCCCCACCTCGATTCAGCCTTCTGTATGAGCTGAGATTCAGATGGTGTGCACATATATGTATGCTGATTGAAATACCAAATAACAAACACGTGGGAGTTATGGCTGGTAGGTAATGAATGAGGAAGATGAGTGATTAAAATGTGTAATTGTCATCTACATGTGCAACAATACACTGTAGCCAATACATGAATCTCATATCTGCTAATACGTGCCTTTTCTGGACGACTGCTCATTATAACACGAATGCACCTGTTATTGCCAGGATTCTTTTCATCTCGGGCATGAACATAATGAACTTGACATTTGTGAGTCACCCGTTTTTCACCACCCCCCCCCCCCCCCTCCTGCTACATGTACCATAAACAAAACAAACAAAAACTACAAGAGGCTATGAGGCATAAAATACCTTGTACATTGTACAGTTAACAGTTGAATAGCTAGTCTTTCAATATATTCTTGGCTAGAGTTGCCACCATACTTTACAGGTGTGAAGGGCAAACAATGTACAATACACCTGTTTGGAGCCAGAGGGGCGTTAACTCTATGTTAAAGTACATGTACAGGTAAGAGTTAACACCCTTCTGGCTCTCAACAGACAATGTAACAGGGGCGGATCTAGCTTTTTGCTAAGGGGGGGGTTGACCAAAATAATGACGATGCAGAGCATCGTCCACGAGCCGCGAAGCGGCGAGCCTATTTTTTTTGGGGTGTTTATTTGAACCCCGTAAGTGATGTTTTCCTGGCATCTATTAACACAATGGAGACCATAAAAAGCAGTGCATGATAACGTCTTTTTAAATCAAGTAACAGTTAAATACACAGTTATATCCAGAGTTATCATGTGTTTGGTTAAGTTACCTGATGAGTTGAATATCTTCTCACAATATTTGCACTTGAAAGGGTTTCTCTCCAGCGTGCGTTCTTTTTTCTTTCTTTTTTTCTTTCTTTTTTTCTTTTTTTTTCCTTTTTTTTTTTTTTTTTTTTTTGGGGGGCCGCCCAAGGGGGGGGTTGCAACCCCCCCAACCCCCCCCCTGGATCCGCCACTGTGTAATACTTTTGAAGTAGATCAAATACATGCATACAATGAGCTGACCTTTTATACTTGATACCAGGATATGAAAGGCATGAAAATCAATAAAGTGTGATCTGAGGCAGAAAGTGCTTTGAACTTGAGAAAGCACCTGGCTAATCTTTCTTTTGTTCGGCATTTATAAAAGCAAGCTACATAGTGACACAGACAGGAATTCAGCTCACATTTTACACCTTTGGCAATCATAAAGTACATTCTGGAGTCTGGGCTATTCAATAAGTTTTACAAATGTTTTAATATCAGAATTCAGGAGTTGTGTGATTTCATACAAATTCATTTCCCCCACTGTATGTACACGTACATGTTTGCCTTCAAGTGTACATGTACATGCATGCACATGTACTGTAGTCGCAGTTAAAACCTACAAATGTAGTCCTGTACTAATAAAGTAGCATAATTCTATGTACATGTGTGGCATACCCTTTTTCATTTTGCATTTTCCAGGAAGCCTCTTTACCTACATTTTGCTGAAATTTTAAAGGAAGCAGTTTTATCTTGTCAGACAAGTATTAACAGTACATTTTCTCAGATCTGGGACTATAAACGGTACCTTTTCCTATTACAAACTGCTATATGTTATTTTTCTTATCAAATGAGTTATCATTCACTGCAGGCAATAAATGGTTTGCTGTCAATTTCAAAAATGTGAAGAATGCCATATTTCCTGGGGCTGGCAGGTTAACCAAAGGACCAGACAGACTGGAATAGTCTTTCAAAATAGACATCATAATAACTATTTACATGCAATCTGAGCTTGAGTTTCTCAAATACCCCCCCCCCCCCACCCCCCTAAACAGACCCAAAATATTTCCTGGTATGTACGCCTGTATGTGTACGTGTGAGTGCCAAACTGCCATTCAATGGATAAAATGAAAAATAGCTGAAAAGATTTTAAATTTGTCTGACAAAAAATATACAAGTACAAGTAGTTTGGATCGAAACACATTCTTCATAACACTTCAGCAACAACAAAAAACAAGGATGGGTCTGTTTAGCTTTTGGTGTAGACTATCATTGAGATGGGGGTTTGGTCACAACTTCAGTCATTCTCAGATCTTGACCTCATTCATACCGAGGTCATGTGAGGTCATGTAAGGTCAGACACCAAGCTGTTTGGCATTCCACTCTCTAAATAAACATGATATGCTAATGATACCTCAAGTCCATCCTTCATCCATCCTAGTCTGCTTAGCCAGACATTTTCATATTATTGTTGGACAAATGCCATTCACTACACAAATTTTGTTTTATAGGGACATACATGTATATCGTCCCTATTTTCACAAAGTGACGGTAGCGAGGAAAATCGTCACGCAAAGTGAATGCAATTATTTTCACAACCGTCACTTCGTGAAAACAGCGACGATATGTGTACAAAAAAATATAGTGATTGTGATTTGGGACTAGGCAACTAATAATCTGATACCCAGGGTTAAGAGAGGCAATTTGATTGATTTAATTTGATTTGATTGATTATTGATTTCTGCATTTTTTGTAGTATAAACTACATACAACAATATGAACATTTTGTACATTGTGGTAATATTTTTTCAAATCACAATGATCTATGAAACAAATGTTGGGAATGGTCCGAGAGAGTAAATGCAGAAGAGCTGCAGCGTAAGCATGTGTTTGAAGTGCGGGTAGCTCTTTAACTGATGATTACAGCCACAGCAAAATATGATAACATAAACAGGCAAGAAAACAACAGAAATTCAATGGCAAAAAATGACAAAAGCTGATGGTCTAAAGGATTTTGGTCACAACTTCACCATTCATAGATCTTGACCTCATTCATAGAGAGGTCTTGTAAGGTCAGACACCAAGCTGTTTGGCATTCCACTCTCTAAATAAACATGAGATGCTTATAACACCAATGACAGCAACAGTTCATGTAGTCTACGCATCCACACACTCTTTAATTACAGTTCAGCAGAATTCATAATTATAAACAAAAAATTGGATTCATAATTCTGAAACTGAAATTACTCAAATTAGGTACACACTACACATCATTCTGAGTGGAGCATGACTAACCTTTGAAATTAGAGTACATTGTTCATTGTAGTTAACCATCAGAATAATCTTCAGATAAACTTACCAAATACATGTACTGTACAAGTTTACAGGTACATGTGCATAGACATAATGTATTTGGAAGTGTCAAAGTCAAACTCTTATAAAATTTGAATTTCAGAATAATGACCCCCAATATTATAGAAAATATTTGTGTTCAGAATTCTATTTGAATATGTAAATTTCTGGGAAAAAAGCATCCCTCATCGCAAGAATATATGAGAAATCCCAGCTTACAGTGATTGATTTCCGCAAAAAACTATCAATGATTCATTGCTCTTAACAGTTTTGTCAATAATATTTTGCATATATTTTTTAATGCAAGCAAATGGCAGAGGAGAGCATCTGTAGACTGAATAATAATAATTCTTCTAATGATAAAATACTGTTCTTGTATAGCACATTATCACATTATTAAGATATAATGTCTCTATATGCTTCCAAAGGAGTTTGGATTTCATTACCCGGCTTTAGCGCCAGCAACCGTAGCACTCACTTAGCAGTAGGGGCGCTGGTCCGAGAATAAGGATCGTCTTCATAAACGAGGATCGTCTTCGTAAACACGGACCGATGCGTCCTCAAAAATAAGGACCGTCTGCAAAAATGCAGACGTTTTGCAGACGTTTCATATTTTTGATCGGTGCATTGGCGATGCAAAAAATGGATTCTGCAATGATTTTTTTGATGCATTTTACATTGACATTGTACAGAGACTTTCACATTATAAGCAATAAATCCTTGGGAAGACGGACAACCCATAAAAGTAGACGGTGAACTAGGGTTATTTTCCCCCGGGGAATCCATTTTTGGCATCGCCAGCAGGCCGTTCTGTAACATGAAACCCCCAGAGCGCCGATGAAAAAAAACGTCCTCAAAAATGCAGACAACCCTTATTTTTGAGGACGCATTTTGTCCTCGTTTATGAGGATATCCTTGTTTATGAGGACGATCCTCATTCTTGGACCAGCGCCCCTACTGCTTAGTGCATTCAAGGAATGAATCCACGCTAGTGTACTTTAGTATTTTTCCTAAAAACGAAGACATTACAATATACACTTTCTTACAACAAGTCACAGGTTTCTCGGCAAATCGCTGCACAATTGCCAGCTATTATTTAACATCAATAACTAGTAAAATTAATGAGACAAAATAAACCATGAAAAAATGTAAAATATATTCTGGAATGAGCGTCAAATTCTAAATCCTACAATACAATGTATTAGCCAACAACATAAACATGTAGCCTATGAAGCACTACAGTTCCCAGCCGATAAAATTACATTCAGTATCCATAACATGTACACGTACATGTACAGGGGGTGTACAGTATGTATGTTTTGATACAAACAAATAAACAGTCACTAGCAACCATGTCCATATTTACTGAATCACTGAATCTGATATTACATTGACAGGTAAAACCAACCATGCATGCAATTTGACAGAATACTCACATTCAATCCTCAAAACAATCGCTCAAGATTATATACCAATCATAATCATAAACAAGGAAATGACAAGAAACATACCAGGATTTTAGCAGCGTTCGAAGGCGACGTGAAATGAGAAACTAGAGCAGAGAGAAGAACTACATGTGCAATGCATTGAGACCCAATGACCTTCACAGCTCAGTGTGTCGTGTATCTTGTACTGGTGGTAGGATGGTGGATATAGAGCATTGGTAGGCCATCCAATGATGCATGGCTATGGTATGTTGATAATGCCAAATGTGAGAGAAAGTAAGGCAGCACTGGTCAGGCTTCACCAACAGATGGCGCTGTTGATTATCCTGGTGGTTCACCATTGGCTGAATGCACTCTCGCCTCGGTCACTAATTGAGAAGTAGACCAAGCAGCAACAAACCGGCCACTATACTGTGACTGAATATTTGGGTGAATCACCTTGAACTTATTAGACACACACAGGGTCTAAAAGTGAATACACACCGGTATGCCAAGAGATCAATCTAACTAGAAGAGAAGATTCCTTCAAAAAGAGCTTGCATTAGCATACATTTGTGGTGGTTATTTTACCTGACTGCTATCAAAGAAAGCATAAATGCTTGTTAGTAAGCAACCAGACGGCTGACAGCTTTAGGTCCTCTCCGAGGGACTTGGTAATGAGGATTAATGTCTTACTAAGGGCACTAGCGCATCAACTTGGTTTTGAACCCGGGTCACCGGATCACGAGACCACTGCTCCACTGACTGAGCTATCGCGCCTCCTCTTTTATGTCTAGATTTCTCCACAGTGAATTGAAGGGTGACCTGTAGATCCATTACATATCATCATCGATATTTACGAACCAAGGCATCCATACAGTAATATATTCAATTCAATTCAAATTTTATCAATTATACAATGTAAATATAATCCAAACAAATAGGGTCATTCCCAATTTATAACAATGAAAAATATAATAATTTTATATATGAAGGATTTGTTGTTTCATAATAAATTATTATGCAGACAATATGTGTAATGCAAAGATGTGCATATACATGTACCAGTAGTCATGTACACATAGCCCTTTAGCTTTTTTTGTCACATTCGAGTGGAGATGGATCGCCTGGATTTCAATAAACCGGTAAGAGAAACCGTTTAATTAAACTAAGAAAGATTTGATCATCCCCCCCCCCCCTTAAACCTAACATAGCAAATCTTAAGTTTGGAACACGATTGATAGAACTTGAGTTTTACCCTTACTGTACATCCATTCATATGGTTTTCAAGTCGCTGAGCTACTTTTTGTATATACCCATTCCTCACACATTATGACGTAGGCCTACATGTACATGTACATGTATAAAAGGCTAAGTGCCACGAAAGCTAGCCGTAGCATAAACTACTCCTTCTTTCCTATCGATCCTTTCAACTGCTAAGGTCATATCAAGACCTGACCTAGAATTCCATCCCCTCATATCAAATCTTTGGATTCCATTTGTTGATGATATCAGTTGGAGTTTGATAAAGCGATGGCCGGGGAGTGATTTACATGAAGTAAACACAGCTGCAGACAACTGCAAGGGGCTCTCGTAACAATATCAGCACTTTTTATTATAAAATATGACATTCGGAAGTGGATTGGAATTCAACTGATGAAACTCTCTTTCACTTTCATGTTCCATTTCAACACTTGTCAGGTTTTAAGGATCAAAGACTATTTTGTTACAATGAAACCACTTGCAAAAATGATTTTTTTTTTTTTTTTTTTCTTTAAATACCCAGTCTGCACTAGTTTGGCCAGGGGGATTAGACCTCCCTGCAAGGTCACTGACAGGTGGTTATCACATCAAATCAGCTCTCATTTAACATAAGAAAAAGGGGATCATGGGGGACCAGCAGGCACCGATTAGGCATTGTTTGCTACATACATGTAGAGGGCGCAAGTAGCTATAAGTAGTGCAGTGGGGCTTTAATATCTACAGGTTGTTAGAAAATGTCTGCCATGACTTCACTCTTTCCAAATACATTAGGTCGTCCAATTATTTAGAGTCAATACATGAGCACTGAGAGAATTGCCCTCTTTTTATACATGTATTATTTTGTACCAATTATAATTTAAGAAAATTAAGAAAATTAAATCTTTAATCTTGAAACATACATGTATAAATGTAAGCTTCATGCATTGTCTGATAATAAGTCAAATATAGATTTTAAATGTGAAGAGGGTTAAAGCGCTTTAGATCTATTGCTGTGTTGAACTCCCCGCTGTTTCAACAAAGTTGCTAAGGTCAACAGAAAGCCAATGGGGAATATTTGATCCATCAAAAAAACTGATGCTAATCTAGACTAGACATCTTCTCTTACAAGTGTGTACTTCAACAATGGTTTCAATATCGCTAGTACATGTATATTACTGTATATCCATGAATTGATGTACATGTACATTGTGTACATTAGTTGAAATGAGCTAGATCAGTCTTTTTAATGTAAATGTGCTAGTAATTGATTAAAATGTGAAGGGTAAATCCTAGTTTTGCATGTACCTGTACAGTTAACAACTAAATTATTCATGCCCCTAGTATAAAATATCCATTATTTGATGTACATTGTGCACATAAAATGAGCTACAGTGTAGATCAGATTTCTTTTATGTAAATGTACTGGTACACCTGTAGTTGATTAATAATGTGAAGGATGTGATATGACATACAGTTTTATACAAACAGGTAAATCCTAGTTTTGCATACAGTGAACAACCAAATTATTCATATACCCGGTACCCCTTGTAACTTTGATGGTTTTGTGTGTCTTTCGTAATTCAAGAAAGAAAGGTGGACTGTTTGAATTAGGGACTAACAGCCTTTTCACACACAGCTAAAATTCATCGTATCTAGTGATGATTAGAATCATCGTAAAATTTTAAACATGTTTATAGACAAAATTTCCCAGTGTGAACATCGTTTATACGATGTTGGGATAGATACGAAGTCGCGATCCATACGCCCCTAAAAGCAGGCTGCAGATACGAAGTTCGTATCTAGAGAGCTTGACATTTTGTGTGTGAAAGGAAATTCTTGTTTAAACGTGTTTAAACTGGATGGAGCGTGCGCTTTGATTGACATGACATGACCTTCAATGCGCAATGGCACTACTGCGCATTTTACGAGCAGTAGTTAATCACGAAACAATAAACGATCGCACCGAAATTTCTGTGTGTGAAAGGCTCGTGATTAGTTTAAACACGTTCGAAACACGTTTATACTAGTCATGTTTATAGAATTTTAGCTGTGTGTGAAAAGGCTGTTTGTTGAATACTTTTAATTTAATATGACGTCACATTCTCAAGAAATATAAACTGGGCCAATTCAATTTTTCACATACATACACTGTAGGGGTATGAATAGTTTAGTTGGTAACAGTAAATGTTTCTTCAAATGTTTCTACAAATGTAAAGGTCGAGTATACAATGTAAATGGCCATGTACAAACAATGTACATTTATCATGATAATGAATAATTATTAGCAAGATGGATTTTGTATGCATTTACATCCTTATCTCAAAAGAAATGCCATCAAATATCAATTTCAGATTTTAGCTCAAAATATACAATATACAATATTCCTTGCAATATATATGAACATTAGAAAAAAAAACAATACTGTACATGTACCGGTACGTGTTGTATGGTCACAGAGGCTACACATTGTATCCCCTTATCAATAAACCGTGGATTAAAACTGCACAGGCCAAAATGATACTGCCATCTGGTGTCCAAATTGACTTTAAATTTCCAGGCAAATTCACCCTAGATATTACACCGTCTAAACATGCAAACCAACCAACCAAGCTTGTATGGTTCAACGACACATGCTTGGCCGTCAACAATCGCTCTGCTCTCAATTTAATACATCAACTAAATTTCTAAATAAAACTTCAGCCCTGGTTCGTATGTACAATGTACATTACATGTACATGTACATGTAGTAAACTAATTTTATTCCCATGCAACTACCACCCTTACCCTATACCTAAACCAAAATAAAAACCTTAAAGATAAAGACCAGTTACATGTATGGTCATGCAATTGCATTGTGAAAGAAACGTTGTGGAATCGATCAGAAAAGGTTGATCATCTAGCATATACATTGGTGTGTACTGCAAGGTTCTGGAATCATCAAAATCATAAGAAATTTGGACCAGTCTTCATAAAGTTACAAGCACTGTACACAGAAAGATGTATATGGGACTACGCGACACATGCGTTATATCTATCAGGTCCAAATAGATATAATGATTTACCAAAAATATCAATTGGTAGGCGGTTTCTCAGCAAAATTTGTATGATCACGTATTAATCAAAAAACATTCTTTCACAAGATTGGTATTAAATAAGAGAGGAGGGAGTTTCCAAAACAGGTCTTTACCTTTAAACAATTACTGCTGAAACGTATGCAGACATCATGTACAGGTAGTGGTTGTTTTACTCAAAACCCATCCTTCAGTATTATAGCCGATCTGCATCATCTAAAGTGTTAATATTAATAGCTTTGCACTTTAAGCCCACACGTTTAATTCACACAATTGCACTCATTTACATTTACTGGAGCTTGAATGCATGCTCCGCATAAAGCTATTCCACGTACCGATTAAGCTAATTGCTGCACTGCCAGCACTATATTATTGATGATTAACTTAATGGACTCAAATCTGAATTTTCAGGTCTGAACTAATCATCTAAAAACCGTAATGGTTATGCAATCCTAATGAATAAATAATAGACAAAAAATGTACATGTATATACTTGCAAGTCAATATGGACGTGTACATGTACAGTTGTAAATGGACATGAACCACCTGGCTGAACAGACTTCTGCTATACTGTACATGTATACACACTACCCTACCCCCCCCCCCCTCCCTTTAGCTAAAGTTGATTACCTCCTTCAGCACAGCCCCCCCCCCTTCCCTCTTCAGCCAAGCCAAAGTCAAACCTTGTTCATCTCTTCATCTATTTTTGAGGGATGGTCTTGTCAGAAATTTAAAGATAATTATATTATTAATACAGTGTATGATTACCTTGTTATGCTTGTCTTTAGATATTATTGTGCTAATAATTAAGCTAATGATGCTGCTCAAGGGAAAATGAACTCCCATCCTTTTATTTTTAGAGAGGAGGGGGTGATTGTCCCATTAATCTTGCCCCTCCCCCATCACTGAGCAGAGAATCCCGGCTTCGCCACTGATCGTAGTAGGCATCATGAAATTCATCTGCTGTTTGCTCTGTATAGATCTTCTGTTTGGCATAGCAATCCA